ATACTAAAGCATGCACAAAGATTCCCTCATCAGTGGCAGCAAAGATAAATTCAAATGTAGGCTGCCCTTTCCTGAAAATCATAAATCAATCATTAGGCAACTCAACAAGCATCATGAAAGTACCAATTTATTTGGCAACTAATTATTGTAGAATCGCCCATACATGCATACACAAACCAATAAGGGAAAAAAAAAAGATCATTTACTTGGGAAGATTGTTACTTGTGAACAAGTTCATGTTAAATATAATAAAAACTTTTAACAGTAGCACCCGCACCCCCCAACCACCAACTAAAAGATGTAGGCAGTCAGATGATTTATCTGAAAATAACTTATATAATTAAGTTGAGGAACCAAGGCTATGATGATTTGAGATTGAGATGAAATAATAAAGCATTGAATAGCAGACTAAATATTTATCATTGTCATTAAATGCTGGTTATCACTGCCATCGTTCTTATTGAAAAATACGACTTTATAAAGCCTTTCTACCACTGGAATTGAAATTGAATGCATAAATTACCTGAGAAGCTCTTCACTTTCTGATGGGTGGAACTTTGAAAATACATCTCCAAATCTCATGTAGGCAAGTCCAGATAGTGCTCTGTAAATACCAAGAAAATCATTGTCAAGATACTAGTGAGAGGACTTTACTGCTTGGGTTTTCGCTGATTGATAAGCACTGACCTTTCTATACGATTCCTTAAAGCCTGAGAAAGGGCAGCTGCAACCTCTTCTGAGTCCCCAGGGGACATCCAAAGTCCAGATGCAACAACTTCTCACCAAAAATTTATAAAATTAAAATATAACTTAGCAGATACAATTTTATACCATAATAAATCTACTATTTGGCTATTGTACAAAACCATGATAACAAAAACCAAACACATAGTACCTCTTAATTTAGAGACTGCAGCTTGAGCAGAGTCAGCAACAGTTGAATGCCGCCCAGGAAGAAAAAGCCAGAGTTTAATTTTCTCATCTGTGCATGTTGTATAAAGCAGCAGTTAAGTAACCAAATTTTTGTCACCCATAGCACACGGAATTTATGGCATCTTTCTCCCTATTCTGTTAAACAAGTATCAAATGAGCATCCACCCCAAGTCCCAACAACTAAGCCATTAGGTATACAAGACCATTTCATATTTGTACTTATATTATATTATATCTACAACCAGTATGGGATTTATTTCTTCAACATTACCAACCAAAAAGTTATGTGTACCAAGGAACTAAAGGATCCATTTCTCACCTGGATTGTGCACACCTTGAGATGGATCCCAAGGCCCAACAAAGGAATTGGTCCATGTGCTGAGAAATCCATCCTTCTGCAACTGTACATGTGATGAAAGTACCAGCCGTGTGGCAGCATCTTTCGCACTGCTCAACAGTGCAAATGAGAGTTAGCTTTGATAATGTTTAGAGAGCATGTCAAAGAGAGTAAGCTTTGCTAATGCTTAGAGACCATGACAGAGAGCCTTTTGCCTAACTATTGGGAAACTAAGAAGAAAGATACGGGGTGGATTTTTACCTTTTATCTGGTAGTGGGATCAACTCAGACTCATGGGGAAGCAACTGAAACCATGATACTTGATGAAAACCGCCCTGTTGAAGCAATCAATATTCTATTAACTAGCATAGCCATCATGCAAATATTTTTGGAGGATTATATTCTTTTCAAATAAGAACTAGAGAAATATAGCTCTCTCTCTCTCTCTCTCTGACACCCACTGAAAAAGGAAATCTCATCTCCTTCAAACCCGACTGTCTACTCTCTTTCCCTGTACAAAGATAAACGGCTTTCTTGACGATGACACATTATTTTCTTCAGCAGTAAAAACAGGGTAAATTTAAGGGGGTTTATTTTGTATGTTAATATCACAATCATACATCTTCTGCATGTATATGTTTTACCTCCTCACACAGATTTTTTATTAAGATCCATTTTGAATTGTAATGTAAGAAAGCAATGAATCAAAGAAAAGAAGTATTCATACGTATCATGATTGAATTTACCATATGACAACATCAATATAATAAAGAAGGATTTGCAACAAAACAACCAAATGCTTGTCTTTTGTAGCCTCAGATATCACAATAAAATTAATCAACAAGAATTAATAAGAGATTGACAAAATACATGGTTGCAAATGATCAATCATGGTTCCATTTATCATCAAAGTGGGTTTTGTTGTATTTTATGCATGAGTGGAAACGATTCTAACAAATTACGGCATAAGTGAAGAAACAAACAATATCAAAATAAGAACTCAAGAGATTAACGTGGTTCGGCGTAAAAGCCTACGTACGTCCACGGGCAAAGCACGACAAGGAATTTCACTAAACAAATGGAGATTGCAAAAGAGTGTGACTCTCACAACCCAAATCCCACAAATTACAAACCCTAAACCAAACGAGTAGAGAATCCAAACAATCAGAAGAGATTATCCCAAATTGTTCTCAAACTCTCGAACTCACAAATTGACTCTCACCAAATTGCCACGCAAATAAGCAACACTCTCATAACTCCAAACGGTGACCTCCACCCAAAACACAATTACAGAAAACTCCCTAGAACAATGATGCCAGCACACAAAATAAAACTACCCCCAAGGTCTTATTTATAGTGCATAGGACTTAGGTTTCAATAAGAATCCTAATCCTAATTGGAAGTAAATCCAAATCCTAATCAAATGGTTAATCAACAAAATCTCTCCACCATGCAGGAAATCCAACCAAGAAGTCAAAATCAAAAACAGACAGGACACTAAAACGAAATAGGTAACACAAACCTAATTTATGCATCATCCTAATTTTGAGCCGTAAATCACAACAGGGTTACCTCCCTAACTCCCAATATAATGGTGTCAGGTTATTATTAGCTTTCCTTATCCAGCGGGTTAGAATGAAGAACAGAGGGAAGCAATTGAAGTTGATTGGTTAAGGTGAGAAAATGCGTAGCGTCCATTTTTCCTCTCTCCATGATCATTTCAAAAGGTAATTGGTTCCTCTCATAGTCTTGAAAAATTATTACAACCCTAGGATCTAATAACAATATCAATTAAAAGAGGAAATAAAAAAAAAATTAGTAAGGAAGCTACAACTAACATAGAGAGTAATTAAAGACATACAGTGTATGTTATGCAATATAAAGCAATTGTTTCTCTAGTTATGTCAGATGCATTTCAGCTGTTAGATGGTAAAACAATTTAAGGACTACACATCTGTGTTCAATTATGTGGTTGTACTTGTATATGTGGCTCCTGAACAGAATCCATATACTAACAGTAATAAAGGGTTTTTCTCTCTTTTATTTAGTTAGCATTTCGGATTATATTAGGCGATATTTTCTTTGTATTAATCGTTACACATTAAAAAGATCTTTTGTGGTCACTCTTCTTTTTCTCTTGCAAAGTTATAAAATATAACTGCATTCAAGCCATGATGCAATGCAAGTATGCCATATTAAGAATGAACTCAATAAACGAAACTTTAAGAATTCAAAGCTAACGAAACGAATGAAGAGAAGAGAATGGGGATAAATGAACATACGATTTTGAAAACATTCGTCCACATTCCTTTTGAATATGATGGTAAAGCTGCAAAGCTCCTTGCCCCTCAGTTATTTACTACTCAGGACCCTTCTTTTATGATACTAAACTCATATCAAATCCAATCCCCAAGCATCTCTCACCTCTGCAAATAACACCACAATGAAAATTCATACACGTTTCCAACGCAGAGAAAAATATAGCAAATTAAGAAAATTGTTTCCATAATGAAAATTCATACACGCTTCTAAACCCTATCTCTGTGTAAAGAGCTACAAACCCTAACAACCCGTTTGGTGGCAACAAATGGAGAGGGAAAACAAATTGAAAATTTGAAATTTCAGATACAAGCTGCACGATTTCGTATGCATCTCTTTCCCAATTCCGAAGATTTTCTTGGCAACGGAAAGACGGAGAGAAAAAGGAAGAAAATTTGCAATAGAACATAAGCGTACCTTGTGTGCTGTTTGGTTACCGGGAAAATTCAATCGGGGATTTTCTAACAGAGGGGTTTTCTTCTTCACTCAAGTCCCAACAGTCCAAGTGAAATGAATTTTGGATCGAATCAAGTAGAAATAATTATAGAGCGTCGGATCTCGTCCGGATCCTATCACGCACTCATTCGGATCCTTTATGTCACTCTCATCTTACGGGAGCTGCGGTAGAAATAAAATATGAATGTTTGTTTTTATTTGTCCGCAACCCGATGGGTTAACGTTGCGGATCCTGGTTCGTTCCTTACCCCTTGTCCAATTACAAGATCCAATTAGGCTCTTCCATACCATTAAAACTGCACGAGGCCCAAATGAAACTTCAAATTTCTTTGGACCACAAGGACACTCTTGCCCCATACAGTAACCACAAGCTCAAGAGTTAACACAAATGGCATTGGGAAAAGGATGGATGAAATTTTAGGTTTTTTAAAGTACGAGAGGGTGATTCAAACTTCGGTTCAAGATCCTTTTGCCGCATCATCTTACTAAGTTTGAGTTAACTATGTATAAAATCCAACAAGTCAATTGCGAAGCGGGTGTTACGTTGTAGTTATCTCAGGTTAATTTTGTTTTCATATGTTTTCTCTAACTATTATGTATCATTTCTTCAAAAAAGACTATTATGTATCAGAGCGTCTGATTAAAAGTGTTTAATGAAGTTAAAATATTTACACCAAACTTTTCCATGTCCACCATTATTTGGGCTGATGATATGCAGTATCAAATTTATTACAAACCCTTTCTTGGACATCACAAAGTTACTTCAAATACAAATTTTTGCGTAGCCTCCAAGTAATTTGGGCTGATGATATGCAGTATCAAATTTATTACAAACCCTTTCTTGGACATCACAAAGTTACTTCAAATACAAATTTTTGTGTAGCCTCCAAGTAATTTAAGCACATATAAATAACCCTTCACTTTAAGCGCGGCTCTTATGCTGTGAACCATAATCTCTCACTCTCTCTCAGTCTCAAATTTCTCCAGCACAGTAGCAAAAAATTAAAAAACCATGCAGGCAGTGGCAAAGCTGAGCAAGAATCTCCCCCGCCCTCTCTTCCTCCTCCTCGCTCCCAGAACCTTAACCACCCTCACTTCTTCTTCTTCTTTATCACACTCGCTATCCTCACAGGGCTGTGACTCCGCCATCATGCAGACCACAAACACGTGTCTCACCGGAAGAACTCTACTTCGTTCTCCCTGGTCCGCCATTCAATACCGCGGAGCCGTCGTCCAGGGCGCTGATGTAAGTTCCTGAATCCGTTTTGGTTTTTCATACTATGTATACGAATTTTTTGAGTTGTAACTGTTGTTTGTAATCATGGGTATTCTGCAGGTAAAACCTGGAAATATCATTGAAAGGAATGGTGGGTTTGGAATTTCTTTGCGTTCAGTTTGAATTTTCGTTCAAAGTTTAAATTTTTACTAACCAAGTTTGTGAACATTGAAAAATATTGCGTCGCGGTCGGGGTTATGGTTTGCAATACCTTGTTCAGATCGTATTTATCAGGTGAGTTTGCTTATTATCTCTTTTAATGGTGATTGGTGTTGTTTATTTGTATTATGGGGTTTATTGTTGCATAATTTGTTGTTATTTAGGTGTTAAAGGCGGAGCATTCACATGAAGGACGGGGAAAAGCGGTTGTTAAGGTGTGTTTCTGACCATATCGTTATTAGAATTTTGCTCACAAGCTGTGATTGTAATTTACCAAGCTGATATCTTAAGCTGTGTTTTCGTTGCAGGTGGAGGTTCGTGACCTTGACTCGGGGAACAAGACATCCCTACGATTGTCCACGGATGAGCAACTCGATAGTATGAAACTTTAACTTTGTAAATTCCTATTACTACTAGTTGCTTAATTGTCTACGATGTTCATAAATGGACGGTCAATGTTACCATTATTTGGTTGTCGTATCATCTTAGTTTCTTGGATATGTATTTATGCATTGCCCGTCATAATTCTTTTTTTTTTTGTTTCAAGCCGTTTTTAATGTCTGTTTTGATAATACTGACGAACTCCAGTTGGCCGAGTTCCTTTAATCTTAATCATGTGCCATTGTTTGAGCTATTAAGCATGTGGTGCTTAAGATGATAAATCTCACATAAATTTGCTGCAGAGGTATTTGTTGAATCAAAAACTTACGTTTACATGTGCACAGACCGTGATGGCATAGTATGTTTGATAGAGTGAGTTTTATATGTTATCAAAATTTCCTTCTAGCATCACCTTCCTTTTCACTTTCTGCTGTTAATTTCCCTTTAATAATGTGTTCTGTTTTTAATTCTTATCAGCCCTGATACACTTGATCAACTCGATGTGCCGGAGGACTTGTTTGCAAAGAAGGCTAAATACCTACAAGGTCGATACTTATTAGAGTACATGTTCCTTTTTGTTCAGTTATTTTCCATGATATTTACTTTGTTTCTTTTTCCTTCTTGTCCGTCATCCAAACTATTGTTGATTGCCATGTATCTAAAATATGTTATTCACCGTGAATAGAGGAAATGAAAGTGACAGTGGAGCTGTATAATGATAAACCTCTATCCGTTAAAGTTCCAAAACACGTGACGTGCGTTGTCAAGGAAGCACAAACTCCTGTGAGGGGGACTGCACAAGCACCTAAGTATGTTTTCATTGTGAAATATTATTGCTTGTTCAGGCTTCGCATCACTACTTGTTTTCTCTTCCAGTATCTGTATTTATGGAAGTTAGTACATTGTGAGTATGCAATTGAACAAAAAAAACCCTGCAATTCCTAAACCATTGATTTCTCAATTAACCTGTGAAACTAAAGCTTGCTAACATAAGACCTTTTAATCATCATGGACTTGCCTCCATCAAGGCATCAAGTGACACCTTTATGTGTGCTGGTTTGAGGACTTTGCTACAGTTGATCACGATCGGGTTGTTTATTATCTGGTGTACTTTGCATTCCCTTTTCTCCTACGAATCTTGTAGCTAAATTCTGAAGCAGTTTTCGGTTCCCATGTTGACACTAGTATACACTGTAATAGTATTATACCATTTGCGCGCTTTTGCTATTCCCTTGATATTTCTCTCAAATGCAGGGAAATATTAGCTGTGATGGAACAGGGCTTCACTGTCAAAGTAAGATTAATTTTTCTGAATACATTCGATGTTTAAATTTACTCATCTTCGTAGCTAATGTTTGTGTTTAATGTTTTTCGTAAATTTTCTTTTCGAACTTCTCCTAGGTACCACCTCACATCGTAGAAGGTGAAGCTGTGGTTGTTGACACAGGTGACGACTCTTATGTTAAAAGGTAATTTTATGGTTATCTCTGTGTGACATGTTTCACATCCTTGTAAGTTTCTGTTTTCTTGCACGGTTAAATATAAGATGAACTTTTATAAAATATTTATAGACCAGATGCGTCTTCATACTCAACCGCCAGCGGCTAGCTCTGACGGGCTCCCAGTTTCCTGGGCTCTGCTCGCTCGGAAATGTGGTGGTTGGGGCAACTATATCATACAAGATAGGCTGATGATTGAGATGTTGAAGTTAATGCCTGTACAATCGTAACTCTCCTCGCGCACTGTGAAGCGTTTTTGGATTTTGCAGCAAGTCTGTTCCCTTATTTCGTTTCTTTTTTCGTTTTGGTATCAGGGCCAAGCCATAATGCTTAATATCATTGTTTCGATTGGATGGAGAGGTGGAGATTCAATTGCTCAGCTCCACGATGACTGATTTCTTACCATCTTGACGTATAGCTGATTCAAAGTGATGTACATTTACTCGCACAACAAGTTTGGCAGCGGAGATGATACCGCTCTTTAGGCAGGATGATAGTTTTGCTCTTTGACTTGCTGAACAATTGTTTTTCTTGGTGCAGTTTAGTTTATCAGTAAGAAAAAAGTTTCGCATTTTTATTAAACTAATGTTTTCGCTTAATCTTTGACGGAAAGTGTTAAAATCTAAAAATCTTCGCCTAAGTAGGTTAAAGACTAAGTATGTCGAGTGGAAGTTCAGTGGAATAGGTGTCCGACTCCAAATGGGGTCGGGGTTAGGAATGGAAATCAAAAAGCACCTAAGAGTGAAATTGGTAAGACTAAACCAGAATAATCCATAAGGAGCTTCATAAGACAGTAATTTTATGCACTAAAGTCTAATGAATGCACAGCTCTCCTCATTTGATGTGCAACGTGAGAAGAGAGGTAAGCTCAGATTGGGTATACACCACGTTGCACCAAAGTTCTCTCCAACACAAGGGATCCAAGATGTCGACATAATTTTGGTTTACCCAAGTGGTTTAAGCTTATAATTCATTCCAACAAACAAATTCACTGGGGATTTACGCCCTCAATCAAAAACATAATTATTTAACATGATCATGCACTACAAGGAACACAAACTATAAACTTGCAGATTATGATATGCAAAACCCTTGACGCTTCAAAACGCCAAACCCCGGTTTATACTGTGGTGTACAAAACTCATTATTTCACTTCGACATTCATTCCTTGTCCAATTGTTCCTAACGAGAGGATCCCTCTCAAGTACTCAACTTCAAAATCAATAAGACGGGGTGTAATCCTCCTACAATTCCAGTCACACCCGAAAAATTACTAGTACAAATATCATAAATTCCAGTAAATCCTACTCCCAACTCCGATATTAGAATTCCCAATAATTAGTTTGACTTTGTAGGTGTGTTTTCGCAGAACAGGACTACAACACAACTAGAAAAATTATTGTTTGAAGTTTGAACTCAACTCCAGCAGAAATATCCGCCCACGAAGAAAACTACAACCCAAAGTTCTTTTCCAGCAGAAATATCCGCCCACGAAGAAAACTACAACCCAAAGTTCTTTTCCAACTTCTGGATCTGGTTGAGGAATATCCATGTCATCTGCACAATGAAACACCAAACAATTAGAATATCATCAAGAAAAATGTCCGAGGCATTCAAAAGTAAATGAAAGGCCACTTGCAATGTGAGAAAGAGAGAGTACCATGACATGGGGGGCAATTCTAACACAATATACAGGAAACCCAGTGTAAAATTTCAATGGACCTCCTGCTTTCAGGGTTTTCATGGCACAATCAAAAGAGCCAGTGTATGGATACTTTCCCTCAGCATCAGGCTGCATTTTCTGAATTTGGGTTTTCACATAGTCAAAGGGCAAACTGCAAGCAGCAGCGAAAAACCCTGAAACGGTGCTGGCACCTACAAAGATAAAGGAAGCACATGTCAATTCAACGATAATCATACGCCTAATATTAACCACCGAATGGAGAGAATAAGAGTTAACATTCCATTACTATGTAGGTGGCCATAAGCATAGGCCAAAACTAGAAAGTTCATTAACTGCTTTTTGCAGGACAGGATTGGATGAAATACCATGTAAATTATTTAATGGCATGCCACCAACTCATTAAAAGGAAACAAAAATATAGTTTCACTTTTTGGTCATAAAATATAATTTCAATTTGATAATGTAGATACAAAGGAAAGAGAGAGAGAGAGAGAGAGAGAGAGAGAGAGAGAGAGATCAACATTCAAATAGAATAACTGGAAAAGAAAATATCATCGATACCCCTCAACTATCAAAATTCACAATCTTAAACAAGATGAACTCAAAATCTGTACGTGGACCGGCCTAGGGTCATAATAAGACTCAGGAAAATCTGTCCAACTTCTCTACAGATCAACCATCACCATTCATAGTTGCCAATGACAATGTTGTTCAATAATAAATTCTGGACTAAAATGAGAGATTTTGGCTATATAGGTTTAACTCTACAATGTTCATTGTTTATTCCAAATCTTTCCTCACATAAAGCAAAACCTGCCCTAATATATGAAGTCCATTACTCTTCATTCCATGTTAACAATACTGGATATTTTCATTACTCACAAAAAGGATCGGTCATATAAAGAGTAGATTGAACAAAGTCAAGCCTAATTTCAATCACATCCAAAATAATTTAAAACAGAAGAGAATCACATTTTTATACTACTTGCAAAGAACCTTACCCAAGACAGTAGCACCTTCACCAAATCCAAGGGAATCCTTAAAAAATTCAACACTTTGATCATAAGAGGCAAGCATTCCCATGTTCAATGCCATTGCTCTAACTACAGTAGGACCTGCACCTTTCCAAAGTGCCAAAACCCCTTCATCTGCAGTAATACGATATAGAGCATGGAAAGCATTTGTGTAGTTACGGCGCTGAGCAGCAGGCAAAGTAGCATCAGCTTGCATACGAATGAGTGCTAAATCTGCTGGACTTCCAACAGATGCTCCAATGGCACCAGCAGTTAGCCCACACAAGGCTTTCTGGTATAGAGGTAGAGGCTTCCCATCATTGGCCTCAATTGCTTTGTTTGTCAGAATCCTGAACAAGTTTATCAGATTCAGATTAACAAGATGATCTAAAAAACAATGTACATATAAAATCACAATATCACATGACAAAAGTACATAAAAAGATCTAGAAAATGAAACTAAACAAAGGCAAATCTTTCACTAAAAATTTTAAAAGCTTTCAAAAGCTTACTTAAGTCTGGATTTTGCAACAGACTCACCTGAATGATCCAAGACGAGCTGTGGTATATGTAGCTTGTCTTAGTAGCCCAGCAGAGAGTCCCTGCTCATAGAATTTCAGTTTAGATAAACTATCATTGTAACACATGAACTTAAGTCAATCAATCAGCACACGTAAAATCAAGAACTTTAAATCAATAAAAAAACCTTCTTCCACATTTCGAACCTCAAATCTGACAATAAAATGACCTTAGATTGCACTAGGATCCAGGAAGCAGAGAGATGGGATTTGGAATACAATTTTAAGTTTAAATTGGTTGGAATTAGTATGAAAGACAACACTTTTTAGTCAAATACATGGATGAACTAAAACTTAAGTGGATGATGAATTTGATAACGGCTTGATAAAATGTGTTAATCGAAAGCCTATATCAAGTGATACTTCTGAAAGAGCTTATATTTTTTGGTCGAAACTGAAATAACTTATCTTAGAAACATCTTTACCGATACAAATTCAAATCTAAACACCTTACAAGCATCACTTAATTTGAAATGTCATTCAACACGGGATCAATACCTTATACAAAGCACCAAAGCCTTCCTCTTTAATCATGGTCCTGGTGACCTGGGCAGCTGATCCCTGACCCAATTGAATTCTCACCTGTACCAGCCAAGTTAACAAGAACCCAGAAAGTGTGAGTCCCAATGAACCACATTACAGCACAAATCAAAACAAAAACTTTCAGGGAAAAAAAAAATCCCAGATCTATAAATCATCAAGGAAACGCGATTTCAGCTCAAAAATGGAAGTGAGAATCAATAAAAAAACGAAGGAAAAAAAAAACATGGGTTCAATCCAAATCTCAAAAATGTAAAGAAAGATTCAAACTTTATAGTCCAAAAACTCACCTTGATCATATCAATCGGCTGGATGACACAGGTAGCAAGCATACCAGAGGCTCCGCCATTGACGAAGGGCTTAACGGTGGGCCAAACACCAGATTTGGGCGTACCTTTGTCTCCCATTATTTGGATTGGAAATGAAGAAGTGAGGTGCTCGAAGAAGGTAAAGAAAGGGCGGGGGCTGATTCTGCTTTGGAGTTGCAGAAGAGGAGAAACAAAGAGGCAACTAACAGGCTAGACTGATTGTCTTGCACTCCCAAGTCCCAACAGACCCTCCTCTGCCTCCTTGCTTTCCTCACGACCTGAAAGTTTTTCCTTTAATAAAAGTGGAAAATGAAAATGGAGTTTGTTCTATGACCTCAGATGTCTACCAAATTACAATGGTAAGACTACTTCGGGCCTCTATTCTTTATTTTTAAATTTAAATAAAATTTAATTTTCCATTTGTACAAAATAACTAAAAGAAATGATATTTGTCTTTTGACATAATCAATATTTAAAAAGATAGAGAAAATAGAAAAGTGCATCTCTTAGTGGAAGATTGAACGCTCTTACAAAATTTCTTGCAAAATGTTAATATCTAACTCGCGATTCATGGATATTAAACTTAAAATCTTCTATTAGGGGTATATTCAACTAAACTTTTGTTACTTTTTGAATTCAAAATAGGACCATATCAGTGTGGTTTTTTGTTTTGTTAACTAAATGAAAATGTTCTTGTAATAAAATAATTAGTGCTAATGTGTTGGCCAAAGAGAGTAGCTAGGGAGTCAAATTTGACTGGCCAAAGGAGAATTAGGATCACGATCAATTGCCTTTTTCTCCCTTCCCACATTTTAATAAATGTTCCCCCTAAACCTTTGGAGATGTTATGAGACGATAGAAGAATATTGATAAAGTCAAAATAGTTGCAAGGATCTATTTGGACATAAAGATATGTGCAAAATAATTGATTTAGGTTATGAAACTCTTATACTGATTCCAGAGGCGAAGATAAAGATTTGTATGGATGAGGGTATTCTCAAACAATAAAGTCAAAAACTAAAAAGCTTAAGAATTTAATAAACAAAACACTTACATATATTAATCCATAAATTTTTCATACTAACATACAATATCCCTTAACGTATTTTCATGTTTTGAAAGCGTTGCATGACAACTTCATTACCACTTTAATATTGATACAAATATAAGCAATTCAAGGGGCAAATAAGTAATTAAATTACGCATGTCAATTGGCATGGACGTTAAGAATATTTTTTTCATGCACAGATGCACAGCGTATTACAAAAGGATCGATATTTTCAGGGGAATTCGATGTCTCCAAACGAAGCAGTGTTGGGAGGCTATTTCGGTAAATTCAAAATTAAGATTGGTGTTGCCCATTGTCCGCCTCACGAGGACCTCAGCTTATGCTACCAGCCAAAGGATTATTCACAAACATTAAATTACTAAACTGTCCAGGTTAAGATATTGGATCTGTTTCTCTTATTTTTGGGTGAAATATATTAGAGGATTTAGTAACCAGTTATCGCTAACGTGAGGAGTTTGATTTTTGTGGGAATAACATTTGATACCAACCTTGTGAAAATCGTTCATGTCACTTTCAGTTATGGGGCAGTGATCAACATCAATATATCCTCATAAACTTTCGGCCTTGTTCTTCTTTCTTTTTTTCGATAATAAACGTTAGGATCTAATATCAATGTTTTTGTAAATGTAGATTAAGTCGATTAGTCTGTAACGGTACCTTCCATTTTTATATAAAAAGGTTTTAAGTTCGAATATTTTCCCTTTAATTGATTAATAATTAAAAATCTACACAGTGTTTAGAACATCAATCACATATTTATTATATAACAGATTTAGATGGTATTGGTGTTGTTGATAGTGTGAGGATGTGGAGGGTTGTCTCACGTTAAAAAGTTAATAACATTGTATGTGCTTATAACAAATGGGAACACTTCATAATTAGTTTTATAATGAAAGTTCAATTTTTTTGTGGTATCAGAATAATTTAGTTAAATCACATATTGAGCTCAAAGCAATCCACATGCTCAAACGTCATATAATATACATGTTGTGCACGTATTACACGTAAAGAATGTGTTGAAAATGTAAATCCAACCTCAAAAAACTAATAAATCTTATAAAGTTTGACGCCTTGTTATATTACCATTTAGTTAGTGAAATGTCAACCTACTAAGATGCAAATACTAATTTACTACAATAAAATAATTAGAATCGAAGTTTGCAGTGTATGCTGATTACAAGTGACCAGCAACCACTTGGATCTGTAGTCATTCGTGATATCGTGATGAAGATTAATTATATGTTTATATAAGTACGTTTAATTTACGTGTTCGTGCTCATATGGCATGTGCCATGCAAATTGCAAGGCATCTCATCATATATAGTCACAGTTTATATATTAAAATTAACAAAAAAAAATGTTATTAATCTCACCCTTTTAAAATAGGGGTTTTTTGAAATGGGTCCAAAGTAACTAAAAATTGGACCTATTTCAAATGTCAAAAGTCACTAAAAATTGGACCTATTTCAAAAGGTAATCTATAAAATTGGACCTATTTCAAATTTTCCCCTTAAAAATATTGCAAATTCGCATTAGCTTCCCCCCCCCCCCAAATCCCAACTGCACTCACACCGCGCCCCACTTCGGTGTTTTATCTCACTTGTGGAAATCAATCATGCATGGCTCTGGTGCATATTTGATCTTTATCGATTTCTTTCCTAATAATAAACAATTTAATCTACTCCCCACTTTAGTGTTTTATCTCACTTGTGGAAATCAATCATGCATGGCTCTGGTGCATATTTGATCTTTACCGATTTCTTTCCTAATAATAAACAATTTAATCTACTAACATTATTGTTTAGAAAAAAAAATATATATATTGCAAAGTCTTTTCATGAAAAATAAAAAATCAACAACTCAGACGAGTATAGATTCTCCAAGTTGGTAACTGTGTTGGACGGTTGGATTGTAAACAAAATTTGCAAATTAAACAATGCATCACCAATAAGAGTGAACACGTTTATCAACGTTTAAGTAATAATCCAATCATCAACTTACATATCATTTAGTTTACACAATTTTGTTTACAAATTTAGTCTCCCTAACATCACCTAAAGTTTAATTTCATACCCCGATCACAATCAAGGTTCTTAATCAGGTTCTAATGAAATCGTTGGAATAACCAAAGTTAGATATAATAACGTACGTATGTAATAGCTAGCATGGATGCATGAAAGACAATTGTTCAAGTTGGATTTCTAGATCTAGTCCCTCGCACAGCTCCCCAGGAAAATGGCTCTTTCTTGCTCGTCGGGCAAGACCTTGTTGCTTGATGTGCTGCAAGACAAGTTTATGGTTAGTTTGAAATGTGCCTTTGTGAGGCCTTTGATGTAGGTCTTAAGGCTCACAATCAAAACTAACAAATATTTGTGTGTGCCATTGTTATTTATATAACAAATTCTTGAATAGGTGTGGATTAGGTAGTCTACTTGCACCTCAAGTTATTTAAACTTTTTGTTTATCAAAGGATTGTCGCATATGGGTTAAGTCTGCATTAAGTTTTTTTTCTTGCCTTGTAAACAAGGACTTGTAATTCATAACGTTGTATGTCCAAGATGAAGGGAGTTCAGAGCCCTTTTAACCATTTCCTCGATCAAAGTCTACTTTAATGAAAACATGCTTACTAACTTAAATAGATTCGAATGCAAATGAAACTTTTAAGTAAAAAATAGTTGAAAATGACTTGAATACATGAAGGAAAATGCATTAAACTACAGATCTACTACATATAAGTATAAACAAAAGAGATTGGGGCAAGATTTAACCTTGTCGGGCAACCACTTCTCTTTTGAGTTTACAAGGTTTTGTATGCAGTGAGGGGTGAAAAGTAAATAATTTTATTAGAGGGAATCGATACTACAACACTAAGGGAAAGTAGTAGAACTTCTAAACTTGACAAAAGATAGCTTTCTATGGAGATTCTACGACTGAAAAGGGGAAGTTTTGACAAACTAAGGCTTTAAGGGAAAGTAGTAGAGCTTCTAAACTTGACAAAAGATAGCTTTTTATGGAGATTCTACGACTGAAAAGGGAAAGTTTTGACAAACTAAGGCTTTTCTGGTTTATGGCTTTGTTTGAGAGCAAAGTGAGATGTCTTTTGATTAATTGGTTGAACGTCCTTGTTTATGTTGTCTTTCTCTACTTTTATAGACAATTTGGCCCAACCATCCCAGCTTTGCCTTTAGTTGATAGCTTTCGAAGGACAGTGAGTCATCATCTATTTACTCATTCATGTCATTGAAAAATGCTTTTTGGCTGTTGGTGAGGTGTTCTCTGTTGCCCATCACTTCAAACATAAGCATGTGCCCTATGCCTTTGTTGAAATAGCTTCCAATTTATCTTGGGCCTATCGAATGGGCTCGGGCAAGTCTTCATTTGCTTTTGCATCTATGGGTCTCTATTATCACAAAACCCAATGTTAAATATAAAACCAAACAAGAATAATGCATGGAACCCTAGCTATATTATACTATTAATATATAAAAGAAAAATCTCTCTCAAAACTCCCCCAACTTGAATTATATATCCATTTCGCATATTTAAGGAGAATAGACAGCTAGCATTCAATAATATACATATATAGATGTGCCAAGAAAACACATGCTCTACTTGTCCCATTTGTTGTGGTTGCAGACCAACCAATATTTTACTAGTAATAATTCAAAAGGTGCACTCATTTCTGCTCTAATTATTATGCTTTGTTTCTGCCTTTTCATTGATGTTACTCTTTCAATTACACACTCATTATTCTACTAAATTTTTGGAAAATAAAAGTGAGAAAATAAAATAAATTTAGACGAAAAGAAAAATTGCGAAGAAACGCCCCCAAAGCAAGAATAACCAGTAAAGTCCCACAACCAAAACGAAGCAGAAATGTCAGACTCGTCCTTTGGTCGACATTGCTTCACTTTCAAGCGAATACGGTATTGAGATTTTTTTCTCCAAGTGCAATTGGTTTCTAATATCGCTTTCAAATTACCTTATACCTACACTACACTGCAAGAACGATATGGAGCATCTACCTACTCTATTGGTCCGCAAAACCAAAAATCTTTCAACCTCATGCAATCAATGTCAAATGGGCCGTTTGATCAAATTTTAATGATCCGGATGCATTGATTAGTGAGCTCAGATCTTTATAGATTCGGAGGGAATCCAGTTTCTAAAAAAGCAGAGAAGCGACAAAGCATAAAATATCAAAATCGGTCCAAAAATAAGAAACTATTAAATGATAAATTAAAATTAGAGGAGGAAAAGTTGGTGGGTTGTAACATCCAGCACTAACAACAGCTATCACACTCGAAGGACGCTTGGCTTACAGCACATGGGCAACCGCAAGCTGGTCCGCCAACTTTTCATCTTATCCATATTGCCCTTTGAAATTAGCCACGGAATCATGCAAGTTCCAAGCGTGATAGGGTGTAACCATAATCCGATGAAGAATTCCTTGTGAGACGGATACAAGCTTAAGAATCACCGATTGAGTATTATGTCGACATGGTTACGATGAGATAAAACGTTAGTTTCCGATCCATCCTGTAGCCATCCCTAATCCAAAATGGGGAATGACCTAGAAGGGCAAAGGAGTCAATAACGTTGAAGCTGAGAACCAATGAATGTAGAAGCTGGGAGTTGGGACCCAAGGTTAGGCTGGCGCCAAATGGCAGGTAGAGGGTGACGGTGAGGGAAGGAGGTTCTCTTCGGATTTTTCTCCAAAGTTCAGAAATCAAATGATCTGAATCTTTAAAATTTGATCCAACGATAAAAAATTGTAATAACTTTTAAAAGTTTTTATTAACTTCTTTATTTTAGCCGTTAGATTAAATTTAAAAGATCGGATTACTAATTCCTAAATTTTGAAGGGAAAGAACCAGAGAGGAGAGGATGTCAGGGTGAGGATGAGAGATGAGCTGTCTCATTTTCCCCCCTTTTTAGCAGCGGACTTCAAATCTCTGTCCATTCCCATTTTATCGAAAAAGGGCGACACACGCACACAAAACCCACGCGTACAGCAAAGCAGGGGGTAACTTAGCACACAGCACAGCAGAGAGAGAAAGAGAGACTTCTGCAGTTCGTAAAGTTCCAAATTTTATCAGAGAAAAGAGAGAGATGAGAGAAATCATAAGCATTCATATTGGGCAGGCTGGAATTCAGGTGGGCAATTCATGCTGGGAGCTCTACTGCCTCGAGCATGGAATTCAACCTGATGGCCAGATGCCAAGGTAGGTTTTTGTATATCTCCATCGATATTTCTATTTATATATGCACTTTTTGTTGGTTTTTTGTTTATTTTGGTGGGTTTTTTTTTTCTCAAATGGTGGTGTGGATCAATGTGTTGTGATTTTATCATTATTGGTTATTAAAGGGTTTCTTGGAAATTTGGAATAGTTGATTTTAACATATTGGTGTTTGAGATCTTCTTTTGTATGAATTTCAGATGTCTGATTGTTATAACTATTTATTTGGGGGCTGTATCTGTTGATTACATCAGTAGTTTGTTGGAGTTTTTGGTTCTTTTGAGTGGACTCTCATAGGGTTCAGAAATATTTTCAACTGGAATGGATTTTCTGAAAGTATTCGATGGCGAAACTAAAGTTGCCATAAAAGAAATAGAATTGATTTCGCTTGAATCCGACTGGATCGGATGCATTTGCTTTCTTTGCAAGGTTGTTGTAATCGATACGTCCCAAGTCTGGTCAGATTAGAGACAGTAATTAAGGAACTAAATATGATGTTCTTTGGTTTCTGGACATAGTTTTAACATTAAAACTTTGTTGATCTTTTAATAATAGTAATAATAAAGATTTATTGACAAATGCGAATTCAAGCTTGTATGTGTTTTATTTTGTCCATGTGCATGCAATTTTAAGTTTGAATTTGTAGATGATTTGAGTGCCTAATGGACAGTTATGGTTTTGTGTCTTCAAAGTGATACCACAGTGGGCAGTGCCCACGATGCTTTCAACACCTTCTTCAGCGAGACTGGAGCAGGCAAGCATGTCCCAAGAGCCATATTTGTTGATCTCGAACCAACTGTTATTGATGAAGTTAGGACTGGGTACTTACCGCCAACTCTTCCACCCTGAGCAGCTCATTTCTGGAAAGGAAGACGCTGCTAATAATTTCGCAAGAGGACACTATACAGGTAACGGATGCTGCTTCTATCTTGCATTAATGAACTCTTTTATTATGTTAATTTTGTTGAGTTAACCTTTCTGGTTCTGTTCTGCAGTTGGAAAGGAAATTGTAGATCTCTGTCTTGATCGAGTTAGGAAATTGGCCGATAATTGCACTGGTTTACAAGGATTTCTGGTGTTCAATGCTGTTGGTGGTGGTACTGGTTCTGGTTTGGGGTCCTTGCTCTTAGAACGCTTGTCGGTGGATTATGGAAAGAAGTCAAAGCTTGGGTTCACCATCTATCCTTCTCCGCAGGTACTTACGTTTACAAATACTATGACTATCCTGCATAAGTTCCAGCAGTTTCTTATTCTGGCTTAGCAATTAAACATGGAATTAGAAATGGATATACTTGAGCATTTATAAATTGTTCTGGTGGAAAAGACGTTTCTATTTTATCTAGCTTATATCAGAATATAAAATCAACTGCACTTGTTATTTCATAATGTATAATGTGATTAATAGGACTTGCTGATAAGAAGCTCATGTATGCCTTAATTCTCTTGCATTGCAGGTTTCAACAGCAGTTGTTGAGCCTTATAATAGTGTTCTCTCTACTCATGCCCTCCTTGAACACACAGATGTATCTGTGCTCTTGGACAATGAAGCTATCTATGATATTTGCAGGAGATCTCTAGACATCGAGAGACCAACTTACACCAATTTGAATAGACTGATATCACAAGTCATATCCTCCTTGACAACATCATTGAGATTTGATGGAGCCATTAATGTTGATGTTACAGAGTTCCAGACAAACCTCGTTCCATACCCCCGCATCCATTTCATGCTTTCCTCATATGCCCCCGTTATCTCAGCTGCAAAGGCATACCATGAGCAGATCTCAATCCCTGAGATCACAAATGCAGTTTTTGAACCCTCAAGCATGATGGCCAAGTGTGATCCCCGGCATGGAAAATACATGGCCTGCTGCCTAATGTACAGGGGTGATGTAGTTCCCAAGGATGTCAATGCTGCCGTTGCAACTATCAAAACAAAAAGGACTGTGCAGTTTGTTGACTGGTAAGAACAATGCCTAAAGGGGAAAAGAAAACGATGTAAAATACTCATTTATTTTTTAAATCACATCTAATGTATCTGAAGAAACTTTGTTCAAATGCCATACTGTCTTGAACATCAGTATACACGGTAGGAATGGAGATTTATACATGAAGCTGAAGTTATCTTGATGCCAAGTTGCTTAGATCTTTAATAACCAGTTTTCTTTCAGATAAACAGTTTGTGCATCATCCGTCTGAATTCGGGTCCACGTAAATGTTTTATCTGACGAGTTCGGTGGTTCAATTCTGCAGGTGCCCAACAGGTTTCAAATGTGGTATTAACTATCAGCCTCCAACAGTTGTACCAGGGGGTGATCTTGCCAAGGTTCAGCGAGCAGTGTGCATGATCAGTAACAACACGGCAGTGGCTGAGGTGTTCTCACGCATTGACCACAAATTTGACCTCATGTATTCCAAGAGGGCATTCGTTCACTGGTACGTTGGTGAGGGAATGGAAGAAGGAGAGTTTTCAGAAGCTCGTGAAGATCTGGCTGCTCTAGAGAAAGATTACGAGGAAGTTGGCGCCGAAGGTGTTGATGATGAAGAGGGAAGTGAAGGTTACTAGTGTTGTAATGCAAGAGAAACAGTGTTTTATCATTCATCTTCGACTATCTGTGCTCCTTTTGTTGTGTAGTACACTTTCCATCTTCATGCTGTGAAATTGTCACAATCGTCACTAAGTTCTCATTATGTTCTTCTCGCTCTTTTTTGTGGTATCAATGAAGTGACATTTCTGAGAACCTGAATGTTTATGGTTCTCTTTCAAAGATATTATTACACTACTATGTTTCCCAGGTGTTTCGAAGAGAATTCGATACACATTATATGACAGTATTTTATGTTGTTTCTCCATTTTCCTACAAGACGGTTTCATGGTATAACTTAAGAACAATACTTGCTACTCAAATATGAGTAAGAACTTATACTCGAAAATCTTTAGTGTTTTAATCACATAGCTTTATGTTTATGATCTGAACCGTTCATACTATGAATCATACTGTAAATATCATCTATGCTAAAAACAAATTAAAACTAAGGTCGTTTAGTCAATCTATTGTAGTAAATATATAGGTGGTTCGTAATGCTTTTACAAATACAATTCATTTGTTTTTAAATAGTTTGATGACTAAATGACCTTAATTTTAACTGATTTTTTCGCAGATACCATCTTTATAGGATGATTTATAATATGAACGGTTCTGATTATAAACACGAAGTTCTATAAATTGACAATGAACAATTTTGAGAAATTTTAAGTAAGTTTCTACTTATCTTTGAGTAGCTAAGTATTGATCATAACTTAATATCACTCGTCGGTACCCCAACCCGCTGTCTTGAAATGCAGTTACATGTTAACTTGTTAGGTGAACCGGAAAAGTCTACTTTTTTAGTTTGAAAGTTTTGCGAGAGGATATTCGAACATAAGATATTTTTCAACATTGAGAGACCAAGAGATTCTGTGTTTTAAAATGCGGTCCATTGATAAATTTTCGCTTTCATCAGTTGGCAGCAATATGATGTTTTAACAACCGATGAACCTGGCTGATTAGTTCTGGTATTTTTGTCCAGCGGTTGTTTTATAGGAATCTTCCACCTTCCCTCAACACTGAAAAATTGCACCAACTACTCTCATTCTCTCATTTCTGCTTCTTCGTATTAATTGAATGCCTTGTAATATGGTGTTCGAAATTGCGGATCAAACATATATAATTGTTCTATATCGGATAAGTGATTCTCCAATATCAATATACTACGGCATGTTACTTAGAATGAAGGAAGTCACGAATCGAGAAAGGAAAAGAAGGAATGGGAGTGATGAGATCAACTAGCAACCCCCGTTGATATGATTCCTGATTCTTCAGGTATCAAATTACGTACTTCTTTTATTCCATGCGTGTCAATAAACACGCAAGGGAAGTAAGGAAATTTTGATACCCATGTTTAAGTAAACGCAAGAAACTCAAGAATCATAATCATTACAATACTCATTCCTTCCATGCAACTTTGAAGATATTGTTCATTTTGCATCTTTAAATGGAAGTATAAGCTATTGATATCGCACAGCTTCCTACGCTTCTCATGCTTTCAAAAGCATCACTAAACATAACCTCTCAAGATTCAAGAATAACCCTTCAATTCTCTCACTTCAAAATAATCAAAACTATAAGATCACTCAGAAAAAGAGATGAAGAGTCGCCATCAGCCGAGGCAGAACAACTGAGAGAGACTAGTATGATCCCAGAGAGCATCACCGGAGTCGTAACCATTGTCCAAGTACTCGTTCACTCCATTCATTGCATAAGTCGAAGCTGAAATCTGCCTCTCTACCTCAAGCGCTCAAATTCTGGCTCTGCTGCAACATTAGGTGACGATGTCATACCAATGTCTTTCGCTAGATCATTCCCTTCGTGGGTTACTGGAAGCTGATCAAACCCAGTTAAGAGTGGCCACTGGCGCCCGAAATGGTTACGAAACAACCCCGGTTGAAGAACACCGATGCAGTTGCTGACGTCTGGTCTATATGCATCATCAAACACCTGAACATTTTTCTGGCTTTTGCAGTCAGGCAGAAAAGTCTCACTAAAAGTAGCAATGGAGTTGGCTGAACCGTCACTGAAAGTGGTATATTTGTTAGTAATTCTAGTAGTCGTAGCTATAGGGGTGGAATTTAGGCTGTTGGGGTTGGAACTTGAAGGGCTTTCTTTCAAGCCCTTTTTCTGGTTGAGGAGGTTTATGATCTTCAAAGAAAGTGGAGAGTTGGAAGGGACATGAGTGGGGAAGTTGGTTCTGGTATTCGAACCCCGAAGAAGGTAAGCAGCCTCGTCGTAAGCTCGAGCAGCTCCCTCGGCAGTCTCAAAGGTTCCAAGCCACATTCTTATCTTCTTTGTTGTGTCCTTGATCTCTGCAACCCACTTCCCGGATGGCCTTTGTCTCACCCCAACAAACTTGCACTTGGATTTGGTCCTCTCTTTGGACTTGCCTTGTTTGTTGGCAAAGGCTCTCTTTTGCTGCTTCGGGGCTTGATGTTCCATGCCAGATGCTGAAAGAGAGAACGTTAGCTTGTTTGAGAATGCTTCTGTAATAGCTAAAAGCACTTTCAGATAATCAAAGCGCTTTTAACAGCATTTGACATTAAAAATAAAAAATAAAAAAAATCGAAGTGCTTTGGGGCTTCATGTTCCGTAGGAATGTTTGAAGAGAAGTTGTGAATGAATGAAAGAGAAAGAATGGGGGAGTCTGGTATATAAAGTTGGGACAAGGCAAAGTTTTTGTTTGGTACTTGGTAGTAGTGGGAAGCTCGTTTTCTTTCCCTCGTCAGCACGTCATTTTGTATTTGTTCGTTATTAAAGGATGACTGATTTCTCAATGCTCACTCGCGACCAAATCATACGTTAGTTTTTTTTTTTTTGAAAAAGAAAAGCTTATGGGGCTTTGGACGACTTACAACAACATTTAGCTTTTTTTGAGTTCTGACAATCATTATGTGATTTACTAGTGTCATGAGTCGAATCAAGATGTTTCATTTGGAATACGGACCTTAAATATGTTCCTAACTATTGAGCCACCGAGTGATAATGTCATATGTAAGTTATTTTGTGATATTTTCATCTGTAAGCGTTCCCTCTATCTTAAACTTTGTCTTGTCTAGAGAAGAATAATTATACGTCCTGCACCTAGAATTTCTAAAGATAAGAAGATAAGAAGAAGTTAAGATGACGAAAAATATATAAATGAAATAAATGGGTTAAAGTCAAAGAACGGTTAGAAAGTAGGGCAGGGCCAGGAGGGTGTGAGTAGATGTCGTGGTCACTCCTCAGTCATCACCACCACCAAAGTCGCTGGTCAACGGAGAGAGAATCAAAATTCGTGGGAGCACGAAGGCATGACACATGGAGCACGAATTTGGTCCCCTCCAAATGTATTCTTAGAAAAAATGGGAAGGAATCTCATGCTGCACGCTCTCTTGTGTTTGGTGGAATCTTTACGTAAAACATACCAAACAATTGACTTGCATTGCATCATAAAAAGATACAAACCAAAAACCAAACAAGTAAATAAGATTCAAAGCTCTAATGGCTATGGTTCGATAGAATTGGATTGTAACGGATCGTTGCTTTGTCCGATTTCTAGAGGTCATGCTCCCCAAGCCATGTTCCTGTCTCAGGCTCTAGGGTCCTTGAGACAGGCCCAAGTACGAGATTAGCTCACTTCTACATGTCGTTGAGGAGCCAAGCTTTGTTCTTTGGCATTGTTTCTCAAAGAAATGGAATCAGAAATGTCATCTTTGGATGCTCTAAAACTCTTGCACTCCTCAAGGATATATCGATCCAACACAACAGCACATACCGTTGAAATTATACCGTAAAGCCAATTTTATTGCCTTTGGGGATCAAAATTGAAAACATTATGAAAGAATCGCCATCGATAATTTCATCAACAGATTCTTACATCGGAGGTATAGGAAAATACAAGACATGATGAGACCAAAACTCCCACGAGAATTTTCTCACCAACAGCCCTCGTAACCTCAGGCACCAACAAAAACAAAAAAAAAAAAGAAACCCGCACCAACAGGAACAACAAGTCTTCTTTTCTTTTAGACTCAAAATCGTCACTATAAATTAACACTTTCATATACACCCTACAAAAAATGATTTGACCAAACCGCAACAATGACTTCCACGCTTAATCAGATGCTGACGGGTTGCTGTAAAACTTTTCGCAAAAATGACCTGATGGGAAGCATCTTATGGAAAAGAATTGGTGACGTACAATGAACACGCAAGACAGGGAACAGTGTATCTGAAAGCGGCAATGTGCTCAATGCAAGCCAAAGTACTTATGAGGAGAGGATAGATTGCAGTGCAAGCTGTTGTTGGGGTTGCAAGGAGGACCACGTTGAGGCCAATGTAGCTGGTGGCAACGTCTGCTGAAGCTGCTTTAACAAATTAATCATTCGGCTTGCAGTTTGTTCTGTTGCTAGATCCTTACCGGCACATAGAACCTGCATGAATAATCACACCCCTCAAAGTAAATATTCTGCAAAGCTTGAATATATATTACAAAGAAACATGCATTAAGTGGAACCATCTGATTGCCCGTACTGTTAAGATATCAATTAGACGAGAAAAAGAAAGCCTAGATTTAGGTTACAGTTATACTTGTTCGTTAATGAGTCCCTAGATCTTGCCACAAAGAAAAAATGGCTCAATCAACCAAGGTGTGCACACATCTATACCATACCATAAATCATTAAATAAGATACGTATAATCAAACTGATGGAATAGATGAGTGAGAAATGAATTATTGAGGAAGCATTGATTTTGATCATGATATACGATAAATGTTGTGCCTATAATTGCTTCACCTCAATAACAATCATTAAACAAGATACATATATTCAAACAAACTGATGGAATAGAATAATAAGAAATGTATTGTTGAGGAAGCATCGATTTCAATCATGGTATATGACACTGAGAAATATAGCTTAAGAGTGCTAAATTAGATTCAAGATTACAAACCTCTGCAAACACTGCAACAATTTTGGGAAGATACTGATTGTTGGGACCCAAAAGTTCCCGATCAGACCTGTAGATCGATTACAAGGGTCACCTCTATGAATTTGCTTGGTAATGATATTCCAAAAGGTAAATGTATGAAAAGGCAACAATTAACAGAACAAGGCACAAGTAAAAGAAAATTGAAACTCTACCTCTCTACCATAGAACAAAGTTGTTCATGAACAACTTTGGCTTCAACCAAGTCACCTTTAATCGGTAAACAGTTCAACCAAGCAGGAATGACCTGCAAAATTCCGAAAGGTTGACAATAAAAAAAAATTAAATAAATAATAATAAATAAATCAAACCAATAAAAAAGATATATTAATCTTAATTCTTGAAAGAGATAGTTGGCAAGACAAGTTATGATATAGTGTTGCACTAAACTGAGGAACATGCGCACAAAAAAGGTACTAGAGAGTACTGTATAGCACAGTAGTCGGATACTCATAGTCAAGACTCAAGACTCTAACGTTACTTTTTTGTGCATATATTCCATAACAACACCAACGACAAATTCTGATCATACCATATGACAACAGAGCAAATAAAAGTTAGTACCTGAGCTGCATCAATACTGTCACGGTGGAATTGGCTAATTTTTCCTAAAGCAGAAATAGCATTATCATATGCCATTACATTTTCAGATTGTTGGGCGTTAGGATGCTGGATGACAGCGTTCAGCCTTGATAGAGCCTCTGTACAAAGCCACAAGAAAATGTTACTCATAAACATACATAAATATTTCATCTATTTAATATATGCAAGCAGAATTACCGCCAATGAGAGGTTTAATTACTGCTCCACCAAACTCTGAACAAACACCAAGTCCATATACAGCTGCCTGAAAAACAAAAGTAAAACAAAAACCACTTAACACTAATGAGGAAAAGCAACCTGATACATATTGAAACAGTTCGTTGAGATCAGACCTGTCGAACATCAGGGTTTTCGTCATTGCAAGCCTCCAACAGAAAAGGAAGAAATGTGTCATAATATCTGATCCAACCAAATCAGAACCAATGAGTATAGAATGACAAGAATTACTTAAAGTAAAACCTGAGGTTCTATTTAAAAAAACTTACTTTACAGCTGCTTCACGACACTGCTCTGCAACTTCATCAAAGATGCATATTGCAATCCTTCTCTCTTCAGGTGTTTTATCCTTGGCCTGTGTTTAGGACCCAAAATGAATAATATAATTCAGAAGACAAACAAATTAGCTCAAACATAATGGCTGACAAAAAAATTAACATTCTTCTTCCACAGGGTGAAGATTTCTAGGGAGTGATCAAGCAAATATAAACAACTAAAATCCTAAAATTGGAACTGAAAGAAAGGCTGCACCCGTGAGACGTAACTTACCCACATAGGCGTTAAATACGATGCTAGCTCATCAAAGAAAGGCAAGAAAGTGGCTTTAAACGTTTTAATCAAAGTTCCAATGATCTCTCCCACCTGGAACAATTAAAAGAAGTGTTGAAGAGAACCAGGACAAAGTCCCACACTATATAAACGATGGCCTACAAATTAAAAAATCAACAATATTATTGACGAGCTACCTAAGGATTGTGCTAAAAAAACTCACTTGATCAAAAACTTCTTCCTCTTGTTCATTTTCCTCTTTAATCAGCTCCTGTTCCTCAGCATCAAAGTCTTCTGCTTTGGTCCTTTCTGCTCTCTCTCTTTTTCTACTGGAGCTGGCAGTGATCACCTGCTTTATCTCCTCCACAATGGATCTGACCTGGCTTTCATCTAAAAGTGGTCCAGATGTCTGAAAGCAAAGATACAAGGCGCATGTATGGGGCCATACTCAAGAAATGATACGATATAAAAATGAAAACGCCACAACAATTTTTTTGTTTTGTGAACAAAGCAAAAACAAATTTTTTGTTTTTTGAACAGAGTGAAGTATGATTAATTCAACAAAAATTTACTCCCAAAGCATTTGGCTCATTTGTTGTTTCCATGCAAACTGAAATGAAGGATTGGACACTACAAAACAATTAATTAGTACTACACTGCAGTGACTGCTAGCATTTCCAAGTTCATGCCCAAAATCAAGGCAAATATTTAATTATAAAAGTTCTTGCAAATCAAACGAATTTTTTTATTCTGCAAAGAAAAGAAACTAAAATAGAAGTGGCAAAGCATGGAACGTGACTAGTATCCAGTATCTAATTAACATTTCTAATCATGAGTGTATTGACAACTTCCTTGCAGGGAAAAATATAGCAATTCCAGCACTACTGAATTGGTCATTTGGTGCGGAGTAAGTGCAAAAAGTAAAACAAACAGGGTCACAATGGAAATTCATACAATTTCTTAATGAAAAATGACAAACCTGTAAGCATTCATTTAATGCATCCAATATATTTGCACAGATTTCGGTATCAGGTTCCTGCACACAAATTGCAATCTCATACTTCAGAGAATATTTAAATCATTACACCTAGATCAAGGAGGCTTAAGTGAAAAACAATGAACAACCTTATGTAATGCTTCCACAAGAGCTGGAACAATGTAGTCAGACAATTGCTTTATATATGTTTCATTACGACCTTGAGCTTGGCCTTTCTCTATAGCTAACTTTGCAGAACGCAGTAGCTCCGGCATTGCTAGAAAAAAAAAAGAGTAGATATCTCTTTATTTAAAAATGGAGTAATCTCCAACAAAATTTGTAGAGGAAGGAGAAAATAAAAACATTGAGTATTAACAATTAATACTACCTGAAACAGCTGCCTTCCTAACTTCTTCATGGAAATAAAATTTAAGAAGTGGAACCAAAGTTGGGGCAACCTACATAAATATGACCTTAATAAGTATGCAGCCAAAGTTGGACAAAAAAAATAATCGTGACACTATCGAATACCTGATCAATCCAGGGAAAGAATCCTTCTTTCAGCTCATCAGCATAGCAACACAGCATATTGCAAGCTGTAGCTTTCTCCTCCAAGACACTAGTCTTGATTCCAATCCTTTTATCCCCAAGAGTAATTGTTTCCATACTGAAACACAAAAGCAGCTTTTAGCAAGAGAAGAAGTAGCACAGAGCTACATAACAGCAATATTTCCAGATCTTGTTA